CCAAGACGGCGGTGTGGGTAGGAGAGGTGTTCTTCAAGGGGCGGTTTTGTACGTAACCGCACTTTGGGGCTGTTCTCCCCAGCAGCGTGTTTTGGGAGCGGCGCCGTGCCAGCCCTCCCGACTGACTTCGGTTACGCGCTGCAAGAAGAACAGGATCATCGGGACGGGTGAACCCCAGCGCGGCACCAACGTCCTCCTCACTGCAAGCAATAATGTAAGCAAGAGAAAAAAGCTTGGCTTGGGGTATTGCTGAAGCAGCAGGCCAATGTGAAGCTGCGATGTTTGAGGTCTGGGTGAGCCTGCTCCTGAACCTGCTCAAACTCTGGCCCCGCAGAAGCCTTTGTGCTCGCAGCTTTGCCTCTCTCCTGCCTCTCTCCCTTTCTCCCAGGGCAGAGCTGCTTGGCTTTTGCGTTTTTTTACTGCCTTGTCTGACTGGTTTCCTAAGATGTGTGGGCTGAAGACACGGTCAGTCCGTGTGCCAGCAAACTGGCCATCGCTCACCCCGACGGGCACCCGCGGGACAGACAGGAAAGAGCAGAAAGTCGGCGTCCTTACTGAAAACGTAGCTCTTTGGCCGCAGGTATTTCTAGCAACTTGGTAGGTGGGCCTGTGTCTTTCTCCACACAATGACAGGCATCGCTCCCAACCGCTGCCGGGTCTGGGTGCCATGGTGCGATAACCCCAGTTCTCTTGGTTGTGACTGGATTTTTGGGCTATCTAGAAATAGACGACTCAACTGTCTTACCTGCGAAATGCCACCGCGTCTCTGGAGAGAGCACTTGGCCTTGCAGGGGTAAAGCACCCGGCTCCTTCTCCCGGCGGGCGCTTGCTCCCTCCGCGCCAAGGGGAAACCAGGGCAGGAACCTGCTCCTCTCCTCGGCTGAGCCCTCTGCGGCGGAGCAGCGCGTGGCCAGGCTCCCTCCCCGCGAATCCCCCTGCTCTGCTTCCCCGTGCTCTGAAACGCTCCTTACATTGCTCACAACGTAGTTGTGATGAGATGGCTGGCTGCAGAATTCAGCTGTCGTCAAGCTGGGGCTGGAGCTGAGCAACGCTCAGTCACAGAAAGCATTTTAAAGCCCTGTTTCGCAGAAGACTTGAGCCGAGCCCCGCTCAGAGCAACCCCTGCCGGCACTTGCAAGGCGGTATTTTGTCAGCACTGAACCGCCAGCTACTCATTAATCATTTCACTCGGTTCAGATGGAGGACACAAAGCCAGGGGAGGGGGGATATTTCCAGAACAAACCTATTTTTTGGTTACACACGAATGTCGCGGTGGCTGCTCTGCCGGCGAGCTGGAGCCCCCCCAGCGACTTGCGCTTGGCCTTTGGGAAAGGAGTGAGACCGCTCTGAGGAAAATGATTTAAAATGCCTTCAGATGCCTTTTCACTTCTTTTTATTTAATTCCATAAATATTTTCATAAGGCTCAGTGTCTTTACAACACTTTTTTAAACACTTTTTTTGTTTTATACACACAACTTTGACACTTGTTTGACAGGGTCAAACAGTCCAATATAAACAAAATAATAAAACTGGCAAGTGCGGATCAGCTGGGTTACCAAAATCCTTTTTTTTTTTCTTTTTTTTTTTTTTTTTTAATTTGTCGTCATAGTGCCTTTAAACTCCTACAGACTCTTCTTTTCTTCTTAAGGAAAAATAAGCTTGGTGATGCCATGCAGAACTTACAATAGCTACTAAATATACATGTTCCCTGAAATGTAGCTGCAATGAAAAGATGACAGAGCATAAAGAGAACAAAACCAGAAACCCAAAGCACCACAGTGTACTATCAATAACATTGCAAAGGACGGCCGGCGACTGTCCAGAAACTGAAACAAATTTCAAATATATTTCTCTATGTATTATTTTCTATTTACAACTGTTAGATGCACCTAGGTTGGTTCTTGTTTGATCTTTTTGGAGAGGGTGGGGAGGCGAAAGTCTTGAATTTAGATCCTCTGTTCTAGTGTCTAGGTCAAGGGGTAATGCATGTCATTTACCTAGGGAAGAGGGTGGTTTTATTTTTTATATATATATATAGATTCAGCCAGAGAAATACCGTAAACGTGTAAGTTTGTTACAACTCTCTTGTTGCTGCATATGGAATGGTAAGTGGGTTCCTCCTGTCTGGCAGTGAAATGAAAGTCTGTATCAGACGCTCAGTCAGAATCACCCCAGTCTGACTGCATGGGCGCTGCTGCCAGCGCTCCGGACACTCGAGGCAGCCCAGCCCTGCTCCCTATCGGGAAAGCCACAGTAGGTGGTAAAGTGGGACCCGGTGCTGGTTCTTCTTTGTGACAACGCTCCATCTCCTGCAGCACCTTGGCAATTTATGGAGGGGAAGAGCTTTCTTGAATGCCATGCCTGAGAGCCAAGCCCCTCTTCCCTCTGGAACAAACGCCTGCATCTGCTTTGCCTGCCGCCTGGCTTCGGCAAGCGCTAGCCACGCTAGTCTGGTTTGGCTTTCCATTTAAGAAAGAAGCTGCGAGTCCAACAAGTGGCCTTGTCAGATCAAGCGAGTCTTGATTTATGATGCAAATAATGGTGTGGCGGTGGTGTTTCTTTTTTCCTAGTGCTGAATATTTAGGAAGCATCTTCTCATAAAAATTATGGATGTCTCAGTCTCACTCTCTGAGGCACAAAACAGTAAATGAACAGGCTTAACTAATGTGCTTGTTACTTTTTTTCCCTAAGCAATTAAAAAGGCAAAGGAATAAGTGAAATTTTCATCATGTTGACAACAGTTTGTCATCTCTCTCTCTTTCTCTCTCTCTCTCTCTGCATCTCTCCAGCCATTCAGCAACAGTAAAACATGTCAGTTAACTTCCGAGAACCCATCTCATTCACTTCTTTAAATACCCATTCTGTTAAAGAAACAAAAGAACATTTGCTACATATTCAATATTAAAATCTGACCGTAAAAATGCAAAGATACAAAAGAGCATAAAAATAACTTCTGATAGAAAATTGGGCTGCCTCCTATTTGGGATTCCCACTGGTTCGCTGCTGCCTGTCACAGAGGGGCTGCTTTCCTCTCCAAAACACGGACCCGGCTTTGCTCTTTATTGATAGCTTCGAGATTACTAAACAGCGCTGAGATTATTTTTGTACTTAAATAAAAAATACAGCCACTGCCCTGAAATAAAAGAGGCTCCATGGAAATACTGAAACCCCACTCTCTGCTCTTCCCATTCGCTTGTATTTCTCAGGGGAGAAAAAAACTGTATCTCCATGCTAGCTGGCCTGGGGTGCTTATGTGGGGGATCAGATTCGAACGGAAATGATAAAGACCGTGATCAATCACTTCATCCCGCATTTTCAAAGGAGCTTGCAGAATAGCTCTGCAAAGTTTTGAAGTTCGTCTTCGAAATCTGGTTAAACAGTCTCGTTTACCCTAGGAAAAAAAATCATCCTAGTGCACAATGATTTGTTTTACAAGCTTAAACATAAGCTTTTGCGCTCGCAAACAAATGCACTTAAGGCTGAAATTGTAGGAATTGTCTTTGAAAATGGAGCTATGAATCTCCAGAGGGAGAAAAAGAGAGAGAAAGAGACCTGGAGAGTTTAGCTAATCGCTCCAGAGCCCGCTGACACTGATACACCCCTGAACCACTGATCCCGGTCGGATTAAACTGATCTCTGATTTCGATTAGGTCACGTAATCATGGCCATACAGCTAAACTTCTCGGGTCACACCCAGATCTTTCCTGAAAGGCAGTTCTCACCTCCCCTGCAGCCTGGGTACATTAAACACCCGGCCAATACTGCCCCTGACTGGGGCAATGACCCTTCCACGAAGGGCCACCACGGGCCGCTCCGGCTTTGCCGGGGAGGTCGGTGCCCCGGTGGAGCCAGGGACCTCATAGGCAAGAGTGGAGCAGGCAGCGAGCGCCGTCGCAGCCCTCGCTTTTGGGTCATTGCTCCTGTAAATGGCAATTAGTGGTTCAGTGACGCAGTGCTGTGCAGGCGTGAGTGTGGCCAACAGGATGGGACCTTAGTTCCTGAAGAAAGAAAACTGGCCATTTGCTGGAGCCTAATAGCCAGTTTTCCTCTAGCTGGAATGGAGGGCATGAAGCCATCAGTTTTTAAGCCTTTATCTTTGCATGGAAAACAAAGATAGGAGTGGGCTTTTCAGAGTCGTCTCCCAGCTTAAAAAGAAAATAAATCAAAGATAACCCCACAGAAAGAAAACTAACCGCAAAAGAAATAAAAGCCCCTGATACTCTTTTCTCAGTCTTACTCCCAGCGTGAACAAATCACACTGAATTGAGAAAAAGACAGCGCTTAAAGAAATGCAAAAAATTAACTGAGGAAAACCCATCTCTCGCTTCCTAAATAGCTGATACCCCTTCTGCTCCTCTTCACCTGCCCACAACAAAACAGTTAAAGCCAGAGAAATACTGCGCAGCAGAGCATGGTGCACGAGGGAGCACATCCAGACAGGCACGAGTCAGACCAGGGAATGCAGGACGGGGACCGGGCAGGGTCGATGCTCCTCACTGAAATGATAACTCCGGGGACAGCCAAGGAAGGGACGGAGAGGGAGGGAGAGGGAGCAGAGATCTCCCGGCACTCCAAAAAACAAACAACCCCCCCCCCCCATAAATAACCTCAAATAAAATATACACCAATGCACGCAAATAAGATCAAATAAAATATACACCAATGTAGTCCATGAGGAACTTCGATGACGAATTCACACAAGCGAGAAAGCATTCTGGGATGCCAATGACGACTTGAATGAAAATGAAGAAGAAAAGAAAAAAAAAAAAAAGATGTCCAACCAATGGAATAAAATAAAACAGGTCACATGGTTAGAAATCATTGGTGCTTCCTAGTATCTAGTAGCAGATTGCTTCCCAAAAACAACAAAAAAAGTTTTTGGTCCTTCTATATATATACATATGTATATATATTATTATTTTTAAAATGTGTGTATATATATATATGTATATATATTTAGTTGCAACAGTGCTTCTCCGAAAAAAGGTCCATCTATAAATATAATTTTATTTATTTTTATTTTTAAATTTTAGTTCTTTTAAGTTAAAATTCTCCATCTCTCTAGGTATTATTTTTTGAATGGTGTTAACCTGCTGAAGTTTTGCCAGAATGGTGCCTGGCTGCGTCTGGGTTCGGTGAACTCGAAGACCTGGGACTGGGATATGCCATCTGTCACCATGTATTGTCCCTGATTTAATGGATCCTGGGGTGGTGGGTAGGCTGGAGGAACCGACTTGGAGTAGCTCACACCTGCATCGATGATTGGGGGGAAAAAGAAACAGATCAGTCAAAGTGCAATTGGGTCAATAGTCTTTCTTCGTCATGCTATCGCTTCTTATCACTTAATAACCAGGGTCCCAAACAACAGGGAGACGTGCTAGAGACGGCAAATCTACGGAAGATCGCAGCAGCTGCCTGAACTCTCAGCTCGGAGGCTACCTACGCTGGACCACGAGTTGAAGGTTTGGAAAAGATCCATTACTTTTGTATTGGCAGAGTTTTGCCTGCCCTCATGGAAAAGTCCTGCGTGACCTAAGGAGGCACAAACGAGGCCAGGCCACGTGCAGCATCAGTCTGGTCAGACGACGGCAGACAACCGCATCGTTCAACCCGCTCGCTAATTTAACGCTTGCTGTTAAATTAAATTTAAAGCTCGTTTTCACCCTCCCTCCCAGCTACGCCTGGAAAGTGGCTTTGCCCCAACATGCCCCAGTGACCAGCCCCGAGCAGCGTGACCCCGAGGACCACTCGGCACCGGCTCCTGCGCCAGAAGGGAGCAGAGCTGCTGTGGAGGAAGCGCTACGCTGCAGGGACCCGCGCCGCCTCGGCGCTATTCGGCCTATACAGAGGGCAACTCGTTATTTTCTTTAGGAAAGTTTGTAGGACTTTTCCATAGGGTTAATTTTAAATTTACCAGTCTGGTCTCAGCCAAAAACGGCTGCGTGCAACGCAGAAAAGGCTGATTCTGCTCAATCCAAACTGGTAGCAATGGATGGACTGGCAAGGCTATGCTTTCAGGTTCTAGGTGCGTAATCCCCCAGAGGTGAGTCACAGCTCCGGCGCAGGAAGGGGGTGAGGGGATGCTGCCTTCCCACGGAAAGGGGGAGCTTCAGCAAGCTGGGACCTACGCAAGCCCTTCTACAGGATGGTGTAGAAAGGGCGGCTCTGGGCGAGTGGAAGTGGAACAGAAGGGAGGCAGGTCACCACCAAAGTGCAGACTACAGGGAACAGTAATATAGCTACTTCTGTATTTCCTTCCCCGCAAAACGACGAGGGATAATCCCTCCTTCAGCCTCAGGGTAGCGTGACTGGCTGGAAACCACAACTCCAGAGAAGGGCAGGAAGGAGAGAGGAGCAGGGCTCTGAAGCAGGTTGCTGTAAGCTCTGGCCATCTCTGGATTCCCTCTGCTGCATGCAGAACTGCTCTTCCTTCTGCGGGAGGGCAGCCCCGGCCGCGTGACGGGTGGCAGGCTTCGCAAGGGCCATCTCGAGGCCATTGCCTCCCCTGGTTTTAACCGCAGGAGCGAGGCGACTCTACCCAAGTAGATCAGTGTCCTCATCTGGAAAGCGGGATGGCATCACCCACCTACCTCACACGAGGGTTGTGAAGCTAAATTAATTAATGTTTGTAAAACACTTTGAGATCCTCGGCTGGGAAGGTGCTAGAGAAGGCAAAATACGGTGATTAGCACCCAGGTACCACAGCAACGTGTGTAAAAGAAATGCGACTCTTTGCATTCGGTTAGCGGTTCCTACCCACACACAAACACATGCTTCGCGGGAGCAGCGCCGGCCGGCCCGGGCACGGGAAGGCTGCACACAGTCGGGTACTTACAGACAAAGGGAAAAGCCTCACAAAGCGCACTCACGGAGCTCATCAGACAACTTCTGTATGTTGCCGCATTATAATTCAGGACTTCTTTTAGATACAAAGCTAAGGCTTTCGTATGGCTTTAGGACAGAGAATTCATTCACTTCCCCTTGCTATAGAATTTACCAATCAAGGGTTGTTAAAATCCTCAAAAGGTTCAGACCAAATGGAGATATCATCTTGACTATGTCTAACTGTTTTCTCCTTCTTTACAGCAAATACCATCAAATCATGCAGCTCTCTGTCCACCGTAGGGAGTAACCAAGACCTTTCCTTACGGTGGACAAAAAACACTCCGTGATTCATACTTATTAACCTTTAACAAATTCATCACAGTTCATATTTCATACTTATTTGAAAACAACAACCTGGAGATGTTCTGCATTTGTATCTGCATGCTGGAACAGAGTTACTCATCAACAAGTTTTCTACTCTGTCTTCCCCAAGCTCCTCTCTCCCACAGAAAGCCCGCAGAGCACGGTGCAGCCCCAGAGCCCTTGCTGTCCTGGGGTCAAACCTGGAACAAGGGCAGTTCTAGGATACCTGAGACACCTTCTGTACCACCCTTGTTGGCAGGCCCCAACCGTCCATTTGAATTGACCACACTATGTGACTTAAGCCAATGATGTCCCATAAGGGTCAAGCATGGGCTTGAGCTCATCTCTGCCCTACCTCTTCCCTCCCTTCTGCCGCTGTCCTGCTCTGAGTTGCCTTGTTGGGAGGCAGGTGAACGGGTGGGCAGTGTAACCAACTGCAGAGCCTGCTCTGGAGGGCAGACTCTAGCCCTGAACCCATACAAGAGTGTAGACATTCTCCTGGAGGCCACCAGCCTTTACTGCCTTGGCCACTTTTCCCAGGAGAGACTGGTGAGGAATTTTAGGATCTGTGGTAAGGTTAGGATCTGGTAAAGGCCCCTTACATGGCTAGAGTTGGGAAATACATCTTCTTCTGTCTGGTAGGTGGTTGGGATCTTCGACTGACCCAAAGGACCAGGAATTACTTCAAAGGCAAACGGGCCTTGTGCCACCAAGATTGCTAACTAACGTTCTACAACACAAAAGAGCTGTGAATCTAAAGCTGCTACTAAGGGACATACAGCAATTGCTTCCAGCTTTGGAAGACCTTAAAACCACATTGCTTTAATGACATGGCCCAATGTCTTTTGCATCCTGTGGCTGCAGAGTAGCAGTCAGCCTCGTGATGCATCCAGTCTGCCACGCTGAGCTGCGCTGAGCTCTTTAGTGTCTCTAAACCAATTTGCGGAGGGTGAACTAGTGTATTTTAATCATGACACAGAAATGCTACGAAATGTCCTGGATCAGCAAAATGTTATGCACTTGGAAGGCTGGAGAAGTAGAGAAAGGAGAGTCTGGCTGAAGTCCACTGACATTGATGGAGTTAAACTGCAAAGAATGTAATCCATAGTCTGTCTTCTCCAAAAGAGGAAAAGGCAGACTCCCCTGGCCAGATGACTAGCAAACCCCACTCCTGAAAAATGTCTGTCCTTGCTTGAAACGTACCCATGCACACACTGCCACTTCCCTCAGTAAAGAAGCTCAGACCCATATTCTCAAAGTTGTTTGCGTGGCCCTGCTTGAGGATCTAGGCTGTTGGCATTAACATCTCATCTGGATGAGCGTCAAAAGCTCCTGGCTGGTTCTACTTGAACAAGCACCCGAAGGTTTGCATATTTATCATATTTATCAAATGGCCTCCGTGGCCTGAATGATCAAGACTGCGGATCTCGATGGCATGCATAATTACCGTGTGTTTGTGGGCATGCAAATAAAAACATTTGTGCTCTGGCAAGTCAGGCTGATAATTCCATAAGACTACATTTTCTTGTGAAGCTGTGATACAGCACTTTGCAATAACTTGAGGTGCCCCAAGAATGGCTTTTTGTTTTTAGGACATACCCATGTTCTTGACAAGGTGGAACACTGGAATTGGGGGGCGGGGGGGAGATGGAGATTCATCTAATCTGCAAATCTTCAAATCCTGAGAAAGAGCAATTCTGGGAAAAAGTATGACAGGTTGGTTTTTCTATTCTGCTCTGGAGTGGTTTGCTTCCTCATCAGAACACGGGGCCATTGTGCAAAATTGTCTCTTGAGGGATTTTTTTTTATATGCAAAGCCATAACTCCACTGCGATTCAACAGAAAGAAATGAGCAAAGCTCTTTTCCAATGCGATTTTGGGCTGCTTGGTGAACAGAATTCAAGGCGCAAAGGGAAAGAATCGATAGATAAGTAATGATTTCTAGACACAGCTGCTGCGCTGCCTTTCCAAGGCGTAAGAAAGCAGCTATGCACCCATGACCAGACTTGGAGCTCCTTCTGCTGGTTCATGCATAATTCTGCACTGTAGCAGAATATAAAGGCTGCAGCTGCATAGCGAGATGGTTCGGCAGGGTGGGGGTTGCGGAGATCTGTTCAGAATGAGAAAAAGAAAACTCCAGGGTTTATAATTTGGCTAGACAAAACTGGTAAAGAGAGATGCTGCGCTGTCAGTTGAAATCATGTCTTTTTTTAGTACTAGGCAACGTCACTTGGAATCTTTCGGATTTCTCAGCTCAGAAGAAAACAATTAAAAAGATTTAAAACTGTCTCTTTTTCCCCTTCTAGTTCTTTTTTTTCAGAGTGGCTCTTCTATCTGAGGTTACAACACAACTTCAGCAGCGCTTGAAGGGTTTGGAGCATGCTGTTAACTCACAGGCAATCCACATGGACACGTGCAGACAGACGCGGTTATAATACAGCGGGACAGCTACGTCAACACCGCACCTTTCCAGAGTGAATACAAAACATACACAGAGTACACTCGGAATTGCCTATATATAACCATGGAAACTTGCCTTACAAGCTGTTTATTCCACCCTCAACCTTTACCATTTTAGCTTATACTTTGATCAGGAGCTATTTCATAGGCTTTTCTTCTGCCTCGCTGTCTAGGTCTCCTGCTCTTCATTGGCCAGAGTCGAGTGGGAGACAAGCAAGTCTTGCCACCCGCCGTCCCTGCGGGCCGAGCGGAGGCTGCTGGCAGGGGAGAAGCAGAGCTGCGCTAAGGAACCCCTCATCTCCCCAGATCTCAACAGCGGCTGAGCCAACTTGCATCCTTTGGGAGCCATGCTCCAAAATCCCATAAATTCCGTTTCCTCCTGAATATCGTAACCCATACACAACATGGAGTAGCCAGGAACATACCTCAGGAACACTAATTGTACGGTTAATTACTCCTGCAATAACGACAAGTTTAAGTTAAAGAAATAAGAAGCAGTAACGGCTGAACGGGTACAGCCCTTTGCCTTTCTTCAGCACATTTCAACAGAGGATCTCAAAGCACATCACCACTATTTACTTGGTTGCTGTTACGTTTAGAGT